AAATTACGTCACCAACAAGGCGAAATGAAAACACGCTCTGGCACAGCGCCTGTCTCTCAGACACGAGGGTTTATCGCCACCACTTCTTTTCCTTGAGGACCCGTGGAGGACAGGAATGTAAATAATCAGAGGACACATGGCAACTCCGATGACGGGTGTGTCTAGAGTGCTGCCAGAGCGTAGAGTGAGTCACGGTTTGGGGGAGTCAGGGAACATGACAAAAGAAATGACCTTGGCGTTGTCTCAAAGAATGAGCAACAGGTCCACACGTGGAGAGGTGGGGAAGGACACTCCGCGCTCCGGTCTGCCACTGCAGACGTCAGGACACACGTGGGAAATGGCAACCAGCACGCATGGCTTCACTCGGTGCTGCGCGCGGCGTAGATCGGGGTCTGTGTGTGTGTGTGCGCGCGCGTGTGTGCTGAAGATCACTCTTGTGGCCATTTTGAAAGTTACACGGAAGAAAGAAAGACAAGAGGCAGAGAAAACAGTGAAGAGATTATTGCACCCGTGCAGAGAGCAGATCGTGAAGACTTGAGACACACGGTGGGGGGGAGGCACCGGCATGACAGGAGGGGGCGCACTGAGCGCAATTACGCGGAATGCACAGCGCGTGCGATTGCATGTTGGAGTAAGTTGGAAGGGGGAGGAAGGGTGCATCCCAGGTTTCCAGATTTAAAAATGGTATGGACGAGCCATCCTCCCACATAAAACCTTGGGAGGGGGATTTGTAAAGGGAGATAGTGAGTGAGTTTTGTCCACATTGAGTTGGTGAAGCCGAAAAGCAAAAAGCCGAAAAACACATACAAGGTCAGAGATTAGAAGGCCACACTGAACCTTATTTAAAGCAACCATTTCGTTTGAAGACACATCCACACAAGGAATGCCCTTTGCAATAGTTTAAACCCCACCGAAGAAACAAACAAACAAACAAACAAACAAAAATATATCTCTCTCGATATAGATATAGATATAGATAAATATAGATAGATATATATATATACGTCACCTATCTATAGATAGATATCTATCTATATCTATCTATATCTATCTATATCTATCTATATCTCTTCCCTGCCTTTAGACAATCTCAGTACTGATTCCATCTTTAACCAATGACGACTTTCCAATCCTGGGGCTTTCACATCAAAGAAGGAAGAGTTCGATGCTTTATTTTGTGTTAGGGACCAGGCTCTAAAATCAAAATTTGAAACCTCAAACACCCTGCCTCCTTGTCATCTGCAAAACTTTCCTGTGTCCCACTTCTCTCTGTAAGAGGGAAGCAGCAGGAAGGGACGAGGGCGGCAGTGGTCTTCGGTCGCCGGCTTGGACAATATCAACTCATTTTCCAGGAGTTTATGATGCATGGACCAAGCTCGACTCATCTATCCGTCCATCGGTCAACGGACTCATATGAAGTGTCGGCATCTAGAGATACCGAGATGGGTAACACAGAGGTTCTGCCTTCAGGACGTGCGCACTCTGTCACTCTTGATGAGGGGGAGATGCAGCCATTAGGATTCAACGATTCACACCCACGGTCTGGCCACGTGCCGGCCTGTGTTCTCTCTCTCCTAGTTCACGCTTTCGTGACCACCTTCCAGGCCAACTTCAAGCCCAAGGTCGCCCAAGTTCAGAGCACCCTGGCATATGTGCGATCAGAGCGATAACGTCTCTGTCCCAGTGGGGAGTCCTCTGTCCCAGAGTCCTCGCCTGGGGCCTGGGGCCTCCGAGGCGGTCACTAGCGTTAGGTCTCCGGGCGGGGCCCTCTCTCTCTCTCTGGGCTTCAGAGTCCGCATCTGGAGAATGACGGTGGAGCCCGGTCATTCCTGACGGTCCTTGTTGCTCTGACGTTCTGAAAGTCTTGGATCCTCCCCAGGTGTGAGGTGGTATCTGGAGCTCCCTTGGGAATGAGTGATGGGATCCAGAGCTCAGACTCTGGACTCAGGGTGATCCCGACAGAGACTCCCCAATGGGAGGGATTTCATAGCTATGATTGGCATGTGCTCCACAGGACGCGAAGCCCTTCCATAGCCATTATCTGATTATTATCTTCACAATAAAACACATTATCAGCGTTTCCACTCCCATCTTCCTATGAGGAAAGAAACCCCAGAGTGTTCGACGGTTAATTACATGCTAACAACTTTAGATTCGTTATCTTACTTAATTCACGTGATAATCCTGACTTTCCCGATGCTGCTGCTTCTTTCTTTCTCTCCTCCTTTTCCTTCCTCCTCCTTCTGTTCCTCGTTTCTGTTTCCTAGGTGGGAAATCTGAGGCTCACGGAGGTTAAGTCGCTGTCACTCCACTGGCAAGTACCAGAGCTCAGATTCGACCCAGATCTGTCTAAATCTAAAGTCTCTGTTTGCGAGCTCGGTCAGAATCTTAAACGCCCCCAGGGGCTGGACGGTGACATAAACAAGGGAACAAGGATTATTTCATTTCACCAAAGAAAATTAAGAACTCTAGTAAGACAGGAAAAGGAAGCTTACTGAGGCATTGCATTGTGGATACAGTAACGGATGCTGGAGAACTAGAGAGCATAAAACGTAGGCCCTATCAGAGAGGGGCAGGCATCAGGCGGGTCAAGGTCAGGCAGACCCACCCATGTCAGATCTTTGGCTCTTAGAAGACAACTAGATGTCTATAATCTTAAGAAAAATCTCTCCGTTTCTAAATACTAATGATTCCTTACAAAATTAAGGAACCATTGTGACTGTGTCTGGCTCACGGGATGCCGGGTTTATGACCCGGACCCTGCGCTGTCTGGAGTGTTAGCCGTGCACCTGCTCCGAAGCCCTCGGGGTGCTCGTCACAGGCCCGGGGCGCAGCCGGCAGCCACCGCTCCCGCCGCGCCTGTGGCTCAGTCAGCCGTTACTCCGAGTGGATGTCGGATGTTCTGAACATCATTCTTGACTGGGTGGTTTTGTGTAAAATAGTTGCCTTAATCCTCGCAGTAACTCGGCAAAGATGTAATTAAATCCATTTTGCAGATGAGTAAATCAGTGCTTAAGTCGGTTGTAAAGGTCACTGAGCTGTAAGGAGCCAAGCTGAGATGCGAGACTCAGCTCCGGACCACGCTTCCCTTCCTCCCGCAGCCTTTTCTTGGGTCTTTGGGGTGATTTTAACCGCTTCCGGTTAGGGAGCCTTTCCTCCCGATGCGTCCGCCTGGTGAGAATCGCAGACGAGGAGGAAGGTGAGGGCCTGGAATCCTCTTTCGGGAGAAAGACCCCTCATCAACCCCGGATCTTCTAAGAGTGGAGAAGAAACTCACAAGGTCAAGAAGGAGGAAAACAAGAATCTGCTCCTTCATAGTCCAGGAGCTTCGACACTGAGGTGAGACACTCCCACACTCCGTAGGTGACTGC